TGCTGTTAACGATAGTTACGCTGCTTGGAACGGCCGCAGACGCCGCGGTGTTTCAGACGATCATGATGAACGTGACCGTACTTCGTCCAGACCTAAACTTTACGGCATCAGCGGCGTGTGAGTCTATATAATACGAGATAATAATTATTACAATTGTAAAATCTAAGTTTATAACACCTATTTATATGATTTTCAATTGTAAATATGGAGCGGCAAAGTAATTTGAGTAATGAAGTCTAGAATAATGGCAATATTCAAGATATACGATGACCAGCATTCATACATGCGGGCAAAATTTTTTGTATTCCGCATTTTAGCAGGTAAATAATTTTTTGCCCGCTAATGAATATTTGTCAGCAATTAAATCGTAATGTAATGAGGATTTAAGTAGATAGCATACCGAGCTTATGGTGCCACTTTGCATAAACAGCTTAAATCATATGTTACCACAATCTTACCCCGAATCTCATCCAACAAAATTAACTAATTACCCCTGAATAAAACCTCCTACAATATTATTACAGCCAATTACCCCCGAATTTGCATAAAGAGCTCAATAGGGTACCGATCATTTACCCTGAATCTTGCCCAATAAAATTAAGCAATTACTTCCGAATGATGAGTTAACGACCATTTACCCCAATTGAGCACACTTTTTAACCGAGAATAACCTAGAGCCGTGGAGCGGCTGCCTGAAAAATATTTCTGTGGAATATACGTATAATAGATTTAAATTTTTGAAATACTTTCCAAAACCGGGGCGCTCATCTTTATTAATCAACACAAAACTATAAGGTACTTTATACGTTTCATTACACAGTTCTTGAAACTATGCAGAGGGCATATCACAAGCAATGTAATCACTATGAATATTTTTCATATCGTTTAAATGTAACTCAAATATAATTAATAAATTTGAATTCGTTCTAATGGTTTGTCTTGGTGATATGTGATAGTTTTGAGATAAGTAAATTGAAATACAGTTATTATGTCTTCCACGGGTGTAAAAAAAATAAATCAGCAGGATTTTTATTCTTTTCTGTAGCAATATCATCAAAAATGAACAAATTCTTCTTCATTGGATCTATATGACAGGGATCAGGCACAGAAACAGTATTCTCAAAATATTCGACTGCACATTTTTTTGACGTTTTTAGGTAGGTTTTCGAGATATTCATCAATATTGCCACAACCGTCAGAAAATAAATTGATAATTTCAGATTTATTATATCCCTTCTCGAAAGCGTCCTTCAACAACTTATATTCAGGCTGATGAGTTGACTTGCTATACAGGAAAAGATTCTTGAAATCAATAAAGTTCTCCAATAGCAACTTCAATAGCAATGACGTTTTTCCGCAGTTCGAACTTCCGATTATGAGACACCTCAAACTTGGAGAAGGAAATACAAAGTAGTTCTTCTGTTTATTTTTATTATCGTCTCTCAACGTGTAGAGCATTTCTTAGTGTTTTTTTTCTAAAATACTTCCCAATGTTTGTTCTAATATGTTCACTTGAATTATTATCTGATTTATTTCAGTGGAGAGATGCTGAATATCATAGCGCATATTATCAACATCAATCTGCAGCTGATTAATATTTCCTGAATTCAACATAACCTCTCTTTGAACATCTGTTATTACGTCTTCCATTTGTTTAAGAACTTTCATCAAGCTTTCTTCTTCTTACAGGCTGCCTTGAATGACAATAGCGTGTAAATGAACTTCCATCTACTAAGTTTAATTTAGTTCCATCATAAATCACTCTATGTTTTCGAATATTTTTAATCTGTTCATCAATCTTTCGTTTATCAATTATTTCACATGGTACATTAGCTCTCATTTTTATTAACCAAGTTTATAAAATCCATTTGACGATTTAATAAACTTAGAATGTTTCTCATTTAGCTGGAAATCAGTTTGAAGGTCTGCTACTCATTGAGGTTCAATTTTTCTTAGTCGTTCAAATAATTGATCTTGAATTCTTATTACTTCTGCTAGTTCGTTCTTATTTGAGGCTATATTTTCAACAGTACCATCAATATACGCATCAATATTTCAACAGTACCATCAAGTACCTTTTCTATCAAAAGTTTCCACTATTGATTTTACTGCAGGCAATTCTTCTGACCTGGGTCATATTAGCGTTTGTGACACAAGTAATTTATAATTAAAATTATACAATTTGAGCAAGTATTTGCGTTTTCAACGTAACTTATTTAGCTGTGCATATCACCCGATAAGCGCATCGTTCTTTGATACATCGTTTGTTGCAGGTCCAGATGATCTCATCAATTTCGTAACAATTAACGTGATTATTTCACAATCAACCTGACAATTGATTTATGGAGCCTGCAAGCTACAGATACACTAAATAAAGCTCAGTATTTTTGTGCTCAGTTTTTGTTATTCCTGACCTAAATTTACTTTCTCGATTTATCAATAGCTTTTAATGGCTGCACCACGTAAATAAATAAATAAATATGTAATAAATCTTCAAGCAGCTAATGAATGACAGCGACTGTTTTTATTTCGCTCTGTCCCGGGGCGAGCGGCCCGCCGAAGTGTTCCGTTCATCCATTCATAACATGGCATGGAGCTAAAAGAAAATCATATATTATATTTATTAACGAATACACACAATTAATTAAAGTTTGAAATTGTATTTAGATATTTAATGCGTGTAGCTGAAATTGCCGTGTAAGTTTTATCTTATTTTAACACATGTTCAATCTCTTTCTCGCTCTTCCATTTCATCTCTTTTTACAATGAATAAACTGCCCATAAATAATTAATTCATAAGGTTTTCTAATTATTTAAAGTTAGAAGAGTTACGAACCATCGCGTCACTGAAAATGGAATATTAGCCATGAAATCAGAACGAAGATAAACAGTTAGAAGCTAACTTTAAGAAAAGAATAGAAAGCCTTGTCATAGGTAAATATTAATTATTTTTATTAGGGATAGCTTTCTTCTATAAATTCATCTCCCACAGTATCATAATTTTGTACTTTCGACATCGGCAATCTACACTTTCATCAAAAAATTAATCGTAATGTAAGCATTTTAACCAAACGCATCAACCGCAGTCACGTCTTTCCTCGGCACTAAAAAATATGGAATATATACGTAATAATGTCACTCGTTTCTTGAATAGTTTGAAGAACGTTCTGAATATTTGATGATAGTAATATATACGTTCTGAATATTTGATGGCAGGAATACATCCGTTCCGAATATTTGATGACAGGAATATATCCTTTCTGAATATTTAATGATAGGAATATATCCGTTCTGATTATTTGATGATAGGAATATGTTCGTTCTGGATATTTGATGACAGGAATATATCCGTTCTGAATATTTGATGATCCAGGCTGTCTACCGTAACTCCCTTACTTGTGTTAGCAGTTAGTGCGTCATTTCCGTGACGTCACTATAGTACGCCTATATAAGCTCCCCGAGCAGACCTTCAGTCAGTCTTAGGCAGCCACAGGCGAGACGTAGTAAGCCATCATCATGTAGTCCGCAGGACCACGCCAGACTCCGGCGTCGAGTAGCCTCCATCTTTAGAGTAACCATCTAAAACCTACCTTGTGTACTAACCACCAAGCTTCCTTGTATTCCTATCTAGTTCGTAAATATATAACTAAGAAACTCGCCTCTCAATCAACCTGCCGCTTATTCGGACCCTAGATAAAATCCCTTGGACCCTCAACTCAAAACCTAAGAAGGGTGACCCAGTGGTTACAGTTCAGAGTACCAAGATTGGCGCAGAGAGGCGCGGGTTCGATCCCAGCTCTGTGCGCCAATTTCTGGTCAGAATCAGCGAGGAGGCCGGGCGGTTAACACAGCAGAATTGTACCAGTGAGTTGCGTGTTCGAGACCGCAAAATGCTGTGAATGTTCTGCGATGATAAGAATCGGCGACAAGCCTACGGCCTAATTAACGCTGAAACCGCTATTATTATTATTATTAACTGCCCGCGTTGGCTTACTTTATTCTCAATAACAATTTAGTTTCATTGAAAACCAGCCATCATATGCGGACACATGACACAAATTGTATATTTTGCTGACATAAAACACATTTCTATGCAAATCATTTATGACCTCGTGTTGTTGGATATAGATGTGCAAATTCGTGTCTAGTCAAAATATTTCACCAACCATTGCATGATAGATCTTCCAAATTGGAAATTTCTTCACTCCGCCAAAGTTTTCTACTGGCTTTTGTTTGTATTCGGGACAATTTTAATGGGTTTTCATTAAATAGGAATTAGCAGCTTCACATGCGTAATAAATAATGAAAGCGAACTGAATAAGGTGTTACCAAATAATGCAATTGTAGAAAAAACTCCAACATATCAATGTCCCAGAAGTCGACATCTTGGTCGAGATCATCCCTTTTTTAGAGAAAATCGATTTAGTCAAAATAACATTTGCATGTTCACTTCTAACTTTACAAAGATGAACAAACTTTGTGTCTCTTAAGGTCACTTTTACAGCAACACTGCGATTTTTGCTGGTAATTATGAAGACATATATTCATCAGCCGATTATTGTTATATATTTTCAGATAAATCTAAAAATACTCGAACTTTCAGTGATGCGGACCGAGAAATGACTGTTAGAAAATATGGCTCTAGTTGACAATAGGTTGAAAGAAAAAATTTATTTCACGATATATGTTCTTATATCAAATCAATAAACCGTAAGAAAAATTTAAGCTGTCTTTTATAAAAGATTTATAACTGTTAAACCACGTCTAATCGAATCGATTTATCGTTTAGAATCAATGTTACAAATTAGAATGGAACAATAATGAGAGTGCCTTTATTCAATAAGTTGCAGTTGCACTAAATGCGCGACATTTAAAAACAATGCAAACACAAAGAAAAATGCCGATAAAAAGAAATTCACGCGATCTTAGACGCCTATGATCTAAGGTGACACCAAAGATCTTCATCATAAATAAATTATGAAATTAGCGTTCGTGATATCAAAAAATGAGGCGAAACTGCAATTGAGGATTAATTAGAAGAACATCGCGTAACATATAAGCTTGCCAGCTGAACTTTTAGTGAAAATATTAGCGCGGATCTGCCAGGTCCTCCTGGTTGAAGAACCTGGTGACGATGGTGATGAGTGTGTTGAGCTGTGACAGGTGTGGATGAGCTGCAGAGTCCTGTGTAAGGGAAGGGAGTGAGATACTATAAAGACACTTTCTATACTTTACAGCTCTATGATGATTGACTCTCACAAGTGATATCTATAATTTGATGTGGGTTTCGTTTTTTGAATATTGATATTTTTAGGTGTGTCCCACTCCAGGGCAGAGAGTAATTAAGACGCCGCACGCATGTCTCGATGGGATACTATTATCAATACGTAAACGTGATGTAGAATAGTTCTCTAACCCAAGATACAGGGGTAATACTTTCAAAAGTCGCTAAGTGAACGTAAGTACTTACGCTCTATTTTCTTGTCTATGATTGGTGGATTTTGCTTGAAAGGCCGTCAATGATTCGCTGATGAACTTACGATCTCCTAACTTTTTTGAAAGTATAGGCCCATGAGTTCATTGGCAAGAAGTAAAACCGTTTATATTTGATACAGACATACGCCAAGGAGTAAATAGACATTAAAGAATATAATGCAAGTCACAGCTAATCTGCAGCAACCAACTAAATAATATCATCCAACCTACTACAGAATTTCGAGCAATCTTTGGGGTATTTTCTGAAGAATCTCGAGCAAACTTCTAGTGAATATTAAAGATTCTACTACAGAATCCGAGTATCTTTCTGAAGAATTCCAAGCAAACTTCTAATGAATATTGAAAAGTCTATAATAGAATCTGGGTATCTTTCTGAAGAATCTCAAGCAAACTTCTAGTGAATATTGAAGATTCTACTACAGAATTTCCGTATCTTTCTGAATAATCTCAAGCAAACTTCTAGTGAATATTGAAACAAGTTTCAACTTCATAACGTTCTTAGTTTTTTATTTATTAACAAATTAAAAGGGTTACTTAATTCTGGTTCACCCTGTACATATTGATGGGGGTTTCGTTTTTGGAATATTGATATTTTTAGAAGAGTCCCACTCCAGGGCAGGGAGTAATTAAGACGCCGCACGCATGTCTCGATGGGATACTATTATCAATACGTAAACGTGATGATACACCCAAGATACAGGGGCCATACTTTCAAAAGTCGCTAAGTGAACGTAAGTACTTACGCTCTATTTTCTTTTCTATGATTGGTGGATTTTGCTTGAAAGGCCGTCAATGATTGCCTGATGAACTTCAATCTCTTAACTTTTTTTGAAAGTATAGGCCCATGAGTTCATTTACAAGAAGTAAAACCGTTTATATTTGATACAGACATACGCCAAGGAGTAAATAGACATTAAAGAATCTAGTGCAACTCACAGCTAATCTGCAGCAACCAACTAAATAATATCATCCAACCTACTACAGAATTTCGAGCAATCTTTGGGGTATCTTTCTGAAGAATCTCGAGCAAACTTCTAATGGATATTGAAGAATCTACTACAGAATCTCGGTATCTTTCTGAAGAACATCAAGCAAACTTCAAATGGATATTGAAGAATCTACTACAGAATCTGGAGCAAATAGAATAATTTTTAAGCCAAGACAGATTGCCGCAGAGTTTAGACCCACGAGAGCAGCTCTGGCGGCGGCGCAGAGGAAGACCAGCTTCCTGAGGTTGTCCCCAAGCTCTGGGGTGAGGGGCGTCTCAAGGCAGCACACCAGCGAGTACAACCACCGCCCCTGGGGCTCGCTGAACCCACCCACCTCCACCCACCCCACGTGCCACTCCATCAGGCGCTGCAGGGTTGCCTGGGGTGCAAGTTGGGGTTCATAGTATAAACAATATAACTCAGTACTCACTGCAGTGAGTGACAGAGAGCGCATTTTCTCAGAATCGACGAAAACGTGAAGTCACGGACAGACGGACGGACGGACATGACGAGCACAATAGGGCATTTTTTCCATAAATGAGAAAATGCGCTAAAAACAAATTGTTTTCAATCACAACAAACTTTAAATGAGATTCATGGCAGGGTAAAGGATGGAGGGAGATCATAGAGAAGTAAGATAGGTATCTTAGTAACATGAATGGTTGCCATAATCTGAGGAATTTTGATAAATTATTCACCGATTTGTTATCAAGAACAAAGTATCCATACGCACCTGTCTAACGTTCAACAGTACAGACAGGAGAACACACGCACCTGTCTAACGTTCAACAGTACAGACAGGAGAACACACGCACCTGTCTAACGTTCAACAGTACAGACAGGAGAACACACGCACCTGTCTAACGTTCAACAGTACAGACAGGAGAACACACGCACCTGTCTACGTTCAACAGTACAGACAGGAGAGTAGACGCACCTGTCTAACGTTCAACAGTACAGACAGGAGAGGATCATGCCCGTCTGCGGGCTCAGGGACGGGGACGGCATCGCTCATTGCTGTCGTTGACGCTGAAGCTTGCCTGTCTTCTGATGCCTGCAATAATAATAAGTATTATATCATCATTATTATGCTTAATTATATAATAATTCATTGGAACAACATGGATTGTCAATACGTATTACCAAGGACAATGTATTATAAGGGTGATAAATGTTGTTATTTACGTACTTTTTAATAACTGGGTACAAAATCATTATAAAATAACAACTTTTTTGCCAATAACTATATAATTTTATAAATAACAAGGACAATAATAACTTTTTACAAGGAAGTATTCATATCAAACGATTATAGGAAGCATAAATTAAAAAAAAATCTTAATCGACCCCCAGCTGCACGAGAAAGAAAAGCAGATTTGTACTTATTTTTTTTTTCACACCTAAATATTTTCCAGCAGTAAAAATACGCAATTAAATTAGAAACGCTACCTACGTGTACTTAGGACGTTACATGCACTTAGGTCGTTACATGTACTTGGGCCGCTACGTGTACTTGGGCCGCTACGTGTACTTGGGCCGCTACGTGTACTTGGGCCACTGCGTGTACTTGGGATTGAAGCTTAAATTTGTCAGCGGTGAGAGCTGCATATCAACTTCTCTCGATTATCAGCTATCAACCCAGACAACCCTAATTCTTATTAACTAATATCAATGATTGATACAAATCTCTAGTGGGGATTTCAGGTCCGCTCATCACGTGCAATTTGATTAGTTGACACTTTATATGGATTTTAGTTTTGATAAAAATACGACACAGTGAAATATTGAAAATCGTCATTTAATTAGCATGAATTAATGGAACAAATTTGCCAAAATCCCATAAACAGGCAAGAATTTGAAGGCAGGAGCTTGAAGTCTCCTAAATACATTCGAAAAGTTTGAAGATTAAGACTTTAAATCCTTTAACTACATTAGAATGTATTACGAATATAACTACAAATCCAATAAATTAATATGAAATGTTTGATAACTAAAACTTTGAATCTCATAATAAAAAAATTTCTGTAGACTAGAAACGGCAATTCTGCAGTTTACGGCAACATTTGTAGTTTCGCAGAGGCCTGTTCAGTGCTGCGTACCTCTGCGTGAGTGTTGCGGCAGTTTGCTACTCGCAAAGTTTCTCTTCATAAACTGAATTTCAGGCCAGTCAATAGTCAGCTAGAGTGGGGCACTTTAGTAGAGTTTATTAACTAATCATGGATGAATCTGACTCACTCGACATGAAAGACTCAGACCTCTTGTCCCTTCGGGACGTGAAACTGGATTTCCTTCTTCGGAAAGATGAGGGATTTACTTCTTCGGCTAGACAAGATCAAGGAATTCGAATGAAAGATCAAGGAAGTCGAATGAAAGATCAAGGAAGTCGAATGAAAGATCAAGGAAGTCGAATGCAAGATCAAGGAAGTCGAATGAAAAGTGTAGGGAATGGATATGACGAAGGCGCTGTGGTAAAAGCGTGTCAATCTTATGCTTTTCCTAACCAGCTTGAAGACATTGAGGACGAGTCAGCGTTGCCTGGGGTTGTTCTCGAAGAAGGAAATCCCGAATATATTCCAGTGATGCATGAACGTGGCAGTAAGTACCTGTCAGTGATGCATGAACGTGGCAGTAACCAGTAAGTACCTGTCATTGGTGCATGAACGTGGCAGTAAATATCTATATAATGTGTACCTTGAATTACGTACGTTTCCCTGTGGCGCGTGAATTGTCCAGTAAAACCTCCTTGTTAGGCGCGTGATTGTCACAAAGAACCTTCTATTGCGCATGAATTTCGACGAGCCCCTCGTTTAATACCCAATGCCCAATATTTAATACCCGATGCCCAATATTTATTATCCAATGCCCAATAATACCCAATGCTTTCCAAGACTTGTTTCATGTACAGTATGAGTAACTATGTTCAGTTGGTCATGAATGTGGTGCGGAGAAATGGTTAATATAGTGTATTGACGTAGGTAGGCCTAGTTGATAGCACCTTTTCGAGTTGCAAGGACGTGTAGCCTACTCTGGCCGCTGCGTGTACTTGGGCCGCTACGGGTACTTGGGCCGCTACGGGTACTTGGGCCGCTACCGGCGCAGGGCGGCGCTACGTGTACTTGGGCCGCTACGTGTACTTGGGTCGCTACGTGTACTTGGGTCGCTACGTGTACTTGGGTCGCTACGTGTACTTGGGCCGCTACGTGTACTTGGGTCGCTACGTGTACTTGGGTCGCTACGTGTACTTGGGTCGCTACGTGTACTTGGGTCGCTACGTGTACTTGGGCCGCTGCGTATACTTGGGCCGCTGCGTGCACTTGGACGAGATTTAATAGTACGGAACCAGAAGCCGTCAAATCTCACGTGCGTCACTCGGAGTTGACCGAGCTAAGCTCGCCTGATGCGTTAGGCCGCATTTTAGGCCTGGGCAACTTATCTTTCCGTAAGGCTTAGTTTGCTGCATATTCCTCGTTACCGGAGAAACGCACGAAAAATTTGTGGGATAGGCTTATTTTAAGGCGGAATTTTATTTTTCTTTGTCAACTGACAGCGTTTAGAAATTAGAATGGACATGGTCTTCTCGAAGTTTCGAACTTAATGAGGTTAGGTAGAGGCAGGCAGCGGTTTAGTCCACATTCGAAATCGAACGCTGCATGAGCGCGCTGACATGCGTGCATTTTAGAATTTCGCAATTTCGAAAAAGTTCGTTGTCTAACTTGATCGAAATACCACCTTACAATTTTAATGTGACGAGTATTTCGGGGAATGCAACGCTTAAAAGAACATTTGTCTGAGGCATCTTCAATTGAAATTTTAGATATAAACAAACGCAACTTGTTCTTTCGCTGCCACTGATTCGACTTTTATAAAATAATGAATTTGCATCTTGTGTTATTTCTTGAGCAACTGCGTAACTGGCCTCCCACACTCACCATTCCAACAAAAAAAAAAGGAATTGATTTTATTAATTAAAAACAGGGAATGGTTTCATGTCAATGATCAGAGCCCCGAATGGCACGCCGCAAAAGAATAACGAGCACACTCAGTAGAAAGACGTGTCAATAATAAAATCGCCGCGTCAGCAAAAACGAGACGAGAGAATGGGAGCAACGCACGTGCAAGGCAACAGAGCAAACAACAAGCAATCGAGGAGCTCTTAGGCACCACACAACCTGCTCTCGTGGATGCTCAGTTAACACTGCGTAACTTGAAGGCTCCTCTGAATATTATTAAACAATTGTGAAACATAGTTAACCTAAATGTCTGTAATTTAAATAATGGTGCTAATTTAGCGGTATCTTCTTTACCAACAGCCAAGATGACCGACATGACCTCGGAAGCAGCCCCTACCGCCGCCCGTGACGCTAAGCCGCCACCGCCGCTGTTGCGGTGGTTCGGAGAAGCTGTCGACTGCCAGGAGACCTGCGACAAGCTCGGGGCCAACGTAGCGGCGGTCAGACGGCAACCCTGCTACTACATCCAGCTGTGAGTAGCCTGCTACTACATCCAGCTGTGAGTAGCCCTGCTACTACATCCAGCTGTGAGTAGCCCTGCTACTACATCCAGCTGTGAGTAGCCCTGCTACTACATCCAGCTGTGAGTAGCCCTGCTTACTACATCCAGCTGAGAGTAGCCTGCTACTACATCCAGCTGTGAGTAACCCTGCTACTACATCCAGCTGTGAGTAGCCCTGCTACTACATCCAGCTGTGAGTAACCCTGCTACTACATCCAGCTGTGAGTAGCCCTGCTACATCCAGCTGTGAGTAGCCCTGCTGCTAAATCCAGCTATGAGATGTAGTATATACAGTCGTATTCTAATAAATCTGCTCATGTTTGAACGGAAGTTTATCCTTTAACTTCCTGTTTATATTTCATTTGGTGGACCGCTTTAGGAGGAGAGAATACACGATACGTTTCTTTTAACAATGAATTCAGTATAAAATTCCTGTTAGCTGTAAAACGACTGAACGCGTAGCTCTTCGAAGCGCGGCGATCGTCCGTGTATAATCGAGGCCTGCCGAGACAAAAATGTTCGCCTAGGCTTTCTCTGTGAATTTATATCAATAGTTTGATGGGTCATTGCTTGAATGGTTCATTATATTGTTTCGAATTTTCCCAATTTTTTCGTAGTTCATCATGTCTGACATATTTCGCTTTATCCGTAAACTCAACTTACTTCAACTATAACCATGTCTCGTCACGTACTTAATTAAGAGTATTGTTGGCAGACTGATGGGTTTTTATGGTGCAATTTCAGTTTTCATATTTCGTTGCCTGTACAGTAAGTGGAAGGACCGCTTCCATCGGATGCCCCTGGTGTACCGTCAGCAGCAGGGCAAGACCTTCCTCAAGCAGCTGCTCGGCGAGGGCGCCGTAGGTTGCGAGGACTCCGTGGAGGCCACGGAGGACCTCCAAGTGGACCATCTCCTGCTGGAGCCTCTGTGCCCGAGGACGCAGTTCATCGTCGAGATCGGACCGAAGTAAGACCGTTTTGTCATATCGATCTGTAGTTGTATATTCCACTCTATCCAGATATAAATACCACTCTATCCAGTTGTAGATACCACCCTATAACCCATGACATATAGTGTAGTAATATTCGCCTGGATATTTCACTCCGTATATCGCGTTGAGTGCGACACGACTCACCGGTGCGCCGCATGCAGGGTTGCCAGATATATTTTTCCGGACAATAATCCACGATTTGGTTTTTCAAATGCGTCGGCAGGCAAAAATTTATATTATCGTTACTTCTTTATTTAATTTTAAAAAGTATAAAAAATTCAATTTTAGTACCAGAAACTATAAATTTACTGGTATATTTTGAATTCTGCGCTTTTTTTTTTTACCTGCGGACTTGGCCATTTTTAGGCCATCTGGCAACCCTGGTGGGTTTTATCGCACTCGACGTTTTATTATAACTTATTAAATCTTCAAATTCCAGGTCTTGTTTCTTATAAAAAAAATGCCTGTGTATTTTCAACTTAGTAATGAAACTGAAGGTTGCTTACGAATTGCTGGACCGAAACTTCATTGGCACTTCTTTAGAAGCCGAAAGCTTAGCCGTTCCTATATGAATTTCCCTTTATTTGTAACCGCTTTTATTGCTCATAAAGCCAAATATACTAACTTCACTGCAGAAATTAAATTGATTAATTATTTATTCGGTATAACTTGAAACCCCTAAATTCTGTCGAAGACGCTCTATATGTACTCGCAAAACAAATGTTTCATTCGACAGTGTCATTTATAATTAGAAGAAAATTTGTTAAAGATTTATTGTTTTTAATTCATTCGAGTGTCATTAATAATTAAAATAAAATTTGTTAGATTTATTGTTTTTAATTCATTCGAGTGTCATTTATAATTGAAATAAAATTTGTTAAAGATTTATTATTTTTAATTCGTTCGAGTGTCATTTATAATTAAAAGAAAATGTCTTAAAAATTTATTGTTTTTGATGGTCAGACTGCGGCACCGGACGCCGTGGTGCGTACAGGTGCTCAGTATCTGCGCTGCCGCGCGGGTGCCGGTGCAGCGCATCGAGCGCACTGTCCGCTACCTCGTCACCGCCGCGCATCCCGCGCCTGACATCGCCGCCCTCAGGCAGAAGGTGGGTCACTCAAGCAGAAGGTGGGTCACGTGGGGCGTTCGAGCAGAAGGTGGGTCACTCAAGCAGAAAATGGGTCACGTGGGGCGCTCAGCAGAAGGTGGGTCACGTGAGCGCTCGAGCTGAAGGTGGAGCACTCAAGCAGGTGGGTCACATAAGGCTCCTGTTGGGTTGCCTGCCTCTTGAGGTTGGGGGTATCAGCCAGCTAGGGGGGGGGCAGCCTGCTTGAAAACCGAATTACTACGCTATCAGTAGGAATCTAAAATATTACAAAAAGTAAAGCAAGTTCTGACGTAATTTAACGTTGTTGATATACTAACTTCAATTTTTGGGTAAAGAATAGAAATAGTCCCTAAGTCATATACCGTAATATTGCACGCAGTTTGTTTCCAAGAGTAGTATGTGCCTGTTAGCTCAGTGGTAGAGCGCTCGATTCGTATTCACGAGTGGTCGCAGGTTCGATCCCTGTACGGGCTAAACAATTACATTTTTTCTTTCATATACGTGGCAGTAAATTTGGCTGTAAGTAGAAAACGTGATCTATTTTCCACGCTTAATTTCGTACTCGATTTAATAGAATTGAAGCATAAACACTGTCTCTGCGTAACTTTACTGTATGAAACTTGACTTATACACTGATAAATGTGACGTTGAGAAAGATACATCAGAGTGCGTGTCTAGAAGCCGGTATGCTTAATCGAGCGGAATTCAGCGTTTCGCTTGAGCAAAAGGTTTAGGCCCGTATTCCCACCATATGATATGACTAACAAATGAATGCGAAATTCAAAAAATTTTCACGAGCTAAACACCATCGTTAGGTCCTAATGAATACGAATACCAAGTTTCATCGAGCTGCGTTCCTTAGTTTGGGAGATATTCCTTGATCATCTAACTTGGAACACCGGCCTCGAGTTTGGCCGTAATATTGTCAGAGACGTGTTCCTCCTGCCCGGCAGCCGGCACTAGTCTCGCCAGTTCAACCACACAAAACAGCAGTTTCAGGAACTTAGATTTAAACAAGATTCCACGCGTGACGTCTCCTTCTTTCATGTATCCTTGTAAGTTCATTGTGCTGTCAATACTTGTACTTCCAGAAATAACGCTTCATGATCTTATTATCTAAGCCTATTCTAAAACATTGCAATAAGTCCCAAAACTCCGTACATCAACTTGCGAGTGGAATGCAGTTTTTAAAGGGTGCCTTCATACCATCGTCGGTGCTGCGCCATATCATAACCAAGTAATCGAGTAAGATGACAAGTTTTTTTTTTAAATGCGTTCATCCCTTGAGTGCCGCATGCCTGTATACTTACGATTGACCGCATGCAACTGCTTTGAATTTGACGCGCGTGCGCAGTAGCGCAAACGTGGGAGACTAGCCGGGCCCGGGAACGTTCGTGACCACGCCGCGAGCTTCTAGTTGCCACAGGTGCGATGAGTTATCTCGTGCTTTGCTTCATTGATTTTACTTAAGCTTATAGCATGTTCATTTAAAAATTATGTATACTCAAAGAATTGGGTAAATTTTTAATAAGATATTTAGAAAAATAAATTTTTTGATATAATAGTTTGAATCGCGATCGGTTCATTTGGCTAAATAATTGACATAAAGAAAGAATCATTCATTTATTGCGCTATCAGTAGAAGCCTAAGAAATTTCAAAAATGAAATTAGTTCTGACGTAATTTCATGTCCTTGATATACTAATTTAATTTTTCTGTAAAGAAAGAAAGTGTTCCCAGAGTCATATACTGTAATATTGCACGCAGTTTATAAGTTACCGTGAGCATGTGCCTGTTAGCTCAGTGGTAGAGCGCTCGATTCGTATTCACGAGTGGTCGCAGGTTCGATCCCTGTACGGGCTAAACAATCCTTTTTTTGCCATTCATATATTTGTCGGCAGTAAATTTGGCTGTATTCATAGAACTCGAACTATTTTTACGCTGAATTTCGTAATTGATTACACAGAATTGATGATTTAGACTTGAAATCTCGAATAATTATTTGACTTTTTTGAGCAGCTAACTGCATAAATGATAAATCAAACTTAGTAGAAATGACATGTTCGCTATGTAGCCCGAAAGTGAACGATAAAAGCTTTGTCTCTGCGTAACTTTACTATGCAAAACCTTACTTGTACACTGATATACGTGACGTGTAGAAAGATATATCACAGTGCGTGCCTCGAATCAAGTATACGGCGACACGCGTCGTCGATCAATGCTCGTGACGGTCCTGCATTGTGCTGTGTGGGTGACTCGGCCGTAAGCACTACCGTCAATGTCACATAAGTCGCCAGTCAGGAATTACTGCACTTAACTCGCCGCTTGTCACCATAAACTGTATAATACAGGTTGAAAATGGTAGTAGAATACTAATTATAATACCGGTTGAAAATAATAAATATAGAATACCATTTATATGTCGGTTTTGATTGAACTAAACGCCGTTTCGATCTCTCTGAAAAGTTGTGGTAAAGTTTTGTTTACACAACAGATATTAATCTCCTAGAAAAGCGCGGAAACGATGTAAAATTATGAAAATTTTATATTATATTTTATATTATTTTGACCAATTTTTTGTAATTAATTTCTTCAAATAGAATATTTTCCCCCCAAGGTGACCGATCTGTTGCACGACCCCGTGCTGGAGGACGTCTACGAGGCGCCCCTGGAGAGCTTCTTCGACGAGAGCCCCTCGTGCGAGTACCTGTGGGAGGAGGTGCCTCTGCTGAGCGTCGGACGGACGCTGCTGAAGCAGATCAGCGACGAGCATGGTTGGTTGTTCCCAATGTAGTGGAAACAATCGCATTTTATACGTTTTTGTGACGAGATTATTATTTATTTATAGTTATTATTATAATAAATAATACGATGAGATTATTATTATTCCACGTACTATTATTTCGACAATACGTGGAGTTTGTACGTGGATTTGATACGCCTATACGAGTGGATTCGGTATTTTGAGAAAAAAAAACTTAAATTTTTGTCGAGTTCCGCGTGGCTTTTTCTTTTGTTTCGGCGTTGCCGACATGTCGGGTCAATGAGGCGACGCCTGGCTATTGTTGCCATGTGTGTACGCTCAAGGAAATAAGTGCTATCTGTCCAAATAGAGATGTAGTTTTCTCTTTGTGCGTCATTCTTACTCATTTTGGCTCGGCGAAAGTGGCGAATCTGTGGCACGTGCAGAAAGTCACTATTTGAACAACATGACCCATTCACGTTCCTGAGAGTGTCTTCTTATATTCATCTTCCGAATTGATTTTCTCTAGCACTTGGTTTTGATGAAGCTGACATCGACTTCTACTACAACTTGTACGAAAATGAACTTGGCCGCAACCCAACCATGCCAGAACTCTGCGACTTGGCTCAGTCGAACTCGGAGCACTCGAGACACTGGTTCTTCAAAGGCCGCTACCTGCTGGAGGATGGGAACCTCGAAGACTACTCGCTCATGGAGATGGTTATGGTCACCAACGGACCTACTACCACTAACCAGAATAACGTCATTAAATTCAACGATAACTCGAGGTAATAATTTAATGTCGTTTTGAACATCCAAATTCTGAAATGGGTAATCGAGTAAGACAGTAGAAATAAAAAAAATCATGCAAATCATAATTTGATACATGATAATGAACTGAACTTGCGAGATATTATGCTAGTTTTGGTATTACGGCAGAGATTAATCGCCGAGATGAATTGAAAATTTACGTTAATAAATTTTTATAATATATAAACATTTGCATGGTACATGTTCGTTCATAAGTATATTATTGAAATATTATTAAAAATTTTCCGTTATCCTCTCCCAACCAAAGATATTTTGTTTCGATCGTTGCCAAAAAAGATAATTCAGATAATTCAGTCAAAGCAATTTCCAAAATTTATTATTACTCGTGAACAAAATTATTGAATCGATTTAAATTAAATTCAATAATAAATAGATATATTGGAAAATATTTCACGCAAGCTCTTTTCCACAATAACAATCATTTTCAAATCGCATTTTTCTAAATATTCAGTAAATAATTATTAGGTATATTGTTTGTTTTTGATCTAACTCTGTAGCGTTATTCATTTGAACCGCACAATATTTATTTTGACCGCACTCGGCGCAGTGCCATCGCAGGATTCAGAGTGACGAGCGTGGCACCTCAAGACCCCCGGAAAATGTCGGCGTTCGAGTGCCACGACGCCGTCCGCCACTTGCTGCTTACGGCCGAAACCCACAACTTCCCGACCGGTGTCGCCCCCTTCAGGTACTGGGTCTTGGGTGTCGCCCCCTTCAGGTACTGGGTCTTGGGTGTGGCCCCCTTCAGGTACTGGGTCTTGGGTGTCGCCCCCTTCTGGTACTGGTCATGGACGTCATCACTTTTGAATATTTAGTTCTATATCGAAGTGAATGATGCATTTAGTGAGACGTTTTATAGTTTCAGCGTTCATCGGCATGTAGACAGACTAAATAGGTTCTCTCGAAAAGTATATTTGTTGTGAACTGATTTATTATTCTGTATGTTCTTCATCGGCAGTGGGTCGGCGACTGGAGCTGGTGGGCGTATCCGGGACGTGATGGCGGCTGGACGAGGCGGCTACGTTCTAGCCGCCACAGCCGGCTACTGCGTGGGTCAACTCAACCTACCTGGTAGGTCTGGTTGTGTGTGGGTCAACTCAACCTACATTTTGGGTCTGGTAGTGCGTGGGTCAACTCAACCTACCTGGTGAGTGCGGGGCCGGAAAAGCCCCGCGATCATGTATAATGACGGCTTGGGAGTTCGTAACATGCACAAGAATTTCCACACACCATTAATTAATTATTGCACAAAAGAAGACACGCCTTAGTTAATCTTTTTGTTAAAACTGAAAAACCTTCTCTCTCAATAGATTTATTTTTAAATTATGTGAAGTAAATACACTTTTTATTCAATATTTTCTGTGAACAATACATAATAAAGTTGAACTCCAGATAACAAGCTGCCATGGGAGGCGAACAAGGATCACGTAGGCTACTTCGAGCCCGCCCTCAAGATCATCATCGAGGCCTCGAATGGCGCCTCGGACTACGGCAACAAGTTCGGCGAGCCCGTGACCAGCGGCTTCTTCCGTGCCTTCGGTGAGTCCCTCAACGGCTGCTGGCCGGAATCTGGGTTGTGATAAGTAACCTGACCTGAATAGTTAACCAAAAATTTACAGGCGCGGCAGATTTGGATTAGCAGAAGCTGGGGCGACTCTACATTTTGTTATGGTATGAGGTGAGTATCTTTTCAACTTTGTACGCATGCTGCCAGCCGGCGCTGCACTCGTCGTGCGATTGAGTATTCGTTCTCTCTATGGACACTGCTAGTGGGAAGAATCTTCCCAGCATCTCGTCTGCTCAAGCTTCATTCTCCATCAATGATAAGTTAGATGGTTTTCAGATAATTAAAAAAAACAAAGTTATTTTTCTACCTTGCCACCAGAAAATAGAGACCGTGACCAACTGAGCTTGTGACCGTGCTTATTAAGAGGATGCATTTAAGCGCCCGGAGAAATCTTTGCAGAATATCTAAATTCCACACTTGAAAAGCCAAATTGAATTACATACGATCGATGAAAATTCGATTGCAGAGTGTGAATATTAACAAAAGGTTGCTTGCTAAATCATATCTTTAATTGTAGTTGAGAAACAACTTAAATATTTTCATCTCTAATTTCCTCTTGGTGATACTTTCCTCTTGCTGATAATTTCTTCTGAACGGCAGGAGGCGCGCTGGGCAATGAGTGGCGTGAGTGGTTGAAGCCCATCATGTTCTCCGCCGGTGTTGGGCTGCTGGATGAGCGGCATGTTCACAAATACAAGCCTTCTAACGATGGTGAGTTTTTTGTGATGCTTCCAGTATACAGAGACCTCTTGTATTTGCTAGTATTTGGAAATCCTATCACTAGTTCTTATTTACTAGAAATTTGAAAGCGTATAAAACTCCAAAGAAATGCAACATACCTACCTATATTGAAACGTTTCGGAGTCCAGCTCCATCGTCAGTTCTATAAATCTAGAACACAAATACACAAATAGTTCTTATCTACCATAGAATATGACAATATATTTTTGTATTTTTCTTGCTGCCATTTATAGACATGTTCACTGAGTAAATTTATTATTTATTCATTTTGAATGGAGCTTAATTTTCTCGTTTATTTTCTGATCTGTTGAAATTTCTTTTTGCCTCATGAATTCTCAACCATCGTGTAATTTTTATGTTGATGAAGGAGCGTCTGCTAATGTTGACCCACAATATAATCAACGCTTCTTTCTAAAGTTTCATTTATTTAGAAATGAAACTCATGAATGAAACTTTTAAACGAATGAAACTTTGCAGATGAATGCTGCATGGTGTAGATGTGTAATATCTTGACATAGTTCCTTCACTTTCACATAATCTGTTGAAGACAGCTTTCATAGCAGCTGACTGGCAAAGGCCATCTTTCCTTCTCTGTCGCGCAAATATTAATAATTGAAGAAATAAAATGTAATAATAATTGAATAACTATATAATCACGAGGACCATTTTCAAATTCCCGAAGTAAATCCTTTTTTCGCTAAATTTTTTAGGATATACAGCGAGTATTCGGATTTTTAAATGTATTCCATAACGCGTAAAATGCGTTATATGTGGTGATGCAGAGCAGTGCCTCACATCACCACAGTTAGGCGATCTCCGTAGTCTTTAAAGCTGAAGATTTTTGCTCCGAAGAGTAAAGTTCCAATTTTATCCCGTTTCATATAATATAGTTTAATTTTACCGTATTAATAACTTTTCGGATGCTTAAAATCAACGGCCTCCGCGTATCAGAGGATTAAGCCACAATGAAATCTAATGAAGGCCGAAATACTTCTTACATAGTAATAGGCTTGCTAAATCTAAACGATAAGATGAAGCTCGGTGTAGATTTGCTAGAAGTTACTGATTTCACTTATTGAAGTTTTTCACTTTTAGACTCGTCTTCGCACTCTCGCTATTCGCAGAACTGTCGTAGCGGATGCTAGCCGAGGTTTGGATAAAGATGAAGTTCAAAGCAGTTCAATTTCGGTAGTTGTGCATCCGCGCTGTATCAAAGCTGCTTTTAATTTGAGCCTCAACCACATTCTTAACCGTGCTTACGATATGTAAGCCCGTGTTCTATGGACATGATAGTCATATGCAGCTTGGGCAATATCCATAAATCAAAATGACGCACTGCTGCTGCATAGCTTTTTTGTCTCGTACTGCAATGTACGTAAAAAGTTCACTTCCTTCAAGATTCACTACAAACCTTGTGTTAAGAGATATTTTCCGCAGCTATTTCTGAAGATGCAAAATCAGGAACGAAAATAACGCGGTAAAGTTGAACTAATACAACGTGCGCCGTGCCAGCAAAAGTGGTGGCCAATCACTTATCATACTGCAAAAGTACGAGTTGAATAGCAACCATTATTATTTATTAATGATGACAATATGAAATCCCAACTCTCCTACAACATTGCACTGGATCCGATCTCAATGCATGTTTTTTCTTAAAGATATGCGATTTATCGAGTCCGTTGGAAATGAACCCATAAACAAGGAGGTATCGCTGTTACTTGCACACATCCTATCTGTGCTGGAGCACTCAAGCAACAACATAAAGCAAATTAACATTTAAATTATCACTTAATGTTAAATTATTACTATTTATAAATATAACTTGGAAGTATAATTTCTGAATTCTAACATAGGTTTTCTTACAATCATCAGATGATGATCCACCGCACATCGCTAAGATCGGGGGACCAGCATACAGGATCGGCATCGGCGGCGGGGCTGCGTCATCCGTGGAGGTGAGTTTCAACTCGTATATTTTGTGTCGTTTGTTTCATCATTTACTTGCTTTTCTTATAAATTATGTATTACAATTATTGGATTATTGAACTGAATCTATTATTTTATTCATTACTGTCCTCGTCTAGACAGTAATCCATTTAATTACTCGACTGTAATTCTATGAACTTGATCTAATATTTGTTTTTGATGTTCATTATGTTTTGTATTATCATAATGTATAGAATAAATTCAATGCCTGACTTTATAACATTAATCGATACACAATTTTAGCGAACTGAAGTCATCTTCCTGATGTGTAGTGCTGCCAGCCATGTCCAGATACCGCACTTGGCTGCCCCTCCAGGTCCATATATACATGGTTGTCCACCAGGTCCAGGGAGCGTCGGGCAACCGCACCAAGAACGCGGTGCAGCGCGGTGACCCTGAGATGGGCAACAAGCTGAACCGCTTCGTGCGCGCCTGCATCGAAATGGGCGACGACAACCCAATCCTGTCCATCCACGACCAGGGCGCCGGCGGCAATGGTGAGAAGTATTGTCCATCCACGACCAGGGCGCCGGCGGCAATGGTGAGAAGTATTGTCCATAAGTATTGGCCATCCACGACCAGGGCGCCGGCGGCAATGGTGAGAAGTATTGGCCATCCATGACCAGGGCGTGGGCGGCAATGGTGAGAAGTATTGGCCATCCACGACCAGGGCGCCGGCGGCAATGGTGAGAAGTATTGTCCATCCACGACCAGGCCGTGATGTGTGGAGGTTAATGTATTGAAAGTGTGCAATTAACCCTCGAACATTTTAGGCGAGATAACATTTAAGTCAAAGAACATTCCGACAACCTCAAATGTAAGTAATGTCACGACAGTCCATGCCTTATTGTCAGCGAGTCTAAACAGAATATTTTTCCAATTGCTAATCGAGGAACTGACTAATATTTCGACGCCCTCCAGCTAACGTCCTAAAGGAGATCGTCGAGGGGCAAGGAGCCGATATCCACGCCCCCGCCTTCAGCGTTGGAGACTCGACGCTGACGCTGGAGGAGCTTTGGTGCGCAGAGTACCAGGAGAGCAACGCTATTCTCTTCAGGACCTCCAGCCAGGGCGACCTCGGTGCTATCGCCATGCGTGAGAGGTGCAAGATAGACGACGTCGGCACCCTGCGCAATGATGGAAGGGTATGTTATCTGCATGATTTATTATTATATTTTGTATATTTCAAAAGAAATCTTTTGTTGGTAACTGAATGTTATCAATTTATTAATAGTGAGCTATTTATTTCTGTTTGAAATTGATTTCGAATTCACGAGGTGGACGAACTTTAAACAAGTGCAAGCTTTAATCGTAAGCGTTCTCTTAACTGACAGACAGATAAGGAAGATAAGATAGCGACTCAATAAATTAGACAAATTGCACGTATGAATATATTTTTCTACCTTAGTAAATAAAGAGCTCCAAGAAATAATTATTTTACCGATGTTTCTCTATAAAACGTAAGGAAGTTGAGATTATACTTAGTGTCTGGGTAAAAAAATGTACAATTGAAGCTCTTCAATTAAAGGAAGCATTATATTAGAAAGCTAAAAATTTCAATTTTTCAGGAGAGCTATATAAGAAACTGTATTTGGTTCAGAAAGAATGGAATGGTTAAAAAAAATTTTTGGTGCTCCCGGCTTCTAAAGTGCCAATTACTCGTGATTTGGGGAACATTAATCATTTGCATCCAGTTTTGCGTGAATAAAATATAATAACACGGTATTTTTCAAGGTATACATGTGCTGATTGTTAGAAAATGTACCTTTTTAAAATTTAGAAACGGCCTTACGTCCAAACCAATGCACGTAAGTACATAAAATTTACTCTATTTGAAGCGCTTTAGTCACTGTTACAAAATGATTTTTAAAAATGTCATTTTTTTTAATTTTAAATCAGACGTCACTTCATGTAATAAAATGTCAAAGTATTACCTTATTTTGAATCTCCTGTTCTCAGTTCCGACTGCTGCACACACAAAGCTACGAGATGCCAACCGGGGAGTCGCTCCCCGTAGACTTCCCGCTCCAGACCGTCATGCAAGGCCTGCCTCGCAAGGTATAATTAATGTTTGCCTATTAGAAAATAGCCCGCTTTACGTACAAAAAAATTTTACCATCGAAAATGATCATGTTCATGTAGAAAATTCTCATATAAAAAATCTTACCATCGAAAATGATCCTCTTCATATACAAAATTCACATACAAAATTCTTATAAATAAAAATGATTCAATTCATGTACAAAATTCACATACAAAAAATCTTATCGAAAATGATCCTCTTCATGTACAAAATTCACATACAAAAAAATTTTACCATCGAAATTGATCCTCTTCATATTCAAAAATTATTAGCGTTCAGGTCCGTAACAGTTTGTGAATAGTGAATCTTATTGTACACGACGCTCTGTAATTCCTTGGTTTGTATCTAGAGAAATTATACGTCTAACGTAGTCTAATCTTACCTTGGTATTAATTCATTATTTCGATTTTATGCAGTATTTTCAACACTACTTCGAAAGTTTGCTATGTACTGATACATTCAGCAACTTCTTTGACGACTTGATATGATTAAATTGTCTTTTAAGACTCGTACGCTCTAAAAGAAGGCATCCAGCATTAGAAACTGCCGATGATTATCATATAGATTAAATTTTAACATATAACCTGTGTTATAGTGTCGAGCAAAATTCTTACCTAGTACTGACATTGATTCTTTGAAAATGTTTGGAAAAAAATTTCGTTGTAATATAGGGATTTAAAGTTTCCAACATTTATTCAAAGTTCAAGACGGGGAACAAAGACTGCTCTCCATCGTGAATTTTAATATTGTTCGCCAAGAAAGGGGTGTTCTTGGTGTTCGTAAGAACTGTTCTTCATACTGCAATGTTGATTGTCTTAAAGGCGCGTCCGTTCTGGAAGTTTGCAAAGGACGAGTCTCCATTTAACAGACTTACATGCCTGCGGCCATACTTTCAAAACTCGCTAAGTGAACGTAAGTACTTACGCTCTAATTTCTTGTCTAGGATTGGTGGATTTTGCTTGACAGGCCATCAATGATTGGCTGATGAACTTACGATCTCTTAACTTTTTTTAAAAGAATAGGCCCTGTTTTTTTTCAGACGTACAAGTGGTCGGCGGAGCGGCAGGAGGCGGCGCCCCTAGAGCTGCCTGACGACCTCAGGGCCGAAGACGCAGTCGAGCGCGTCCTGAAGCTGCCCTCCGTCGCCAGCAAGAGGTTCCTCACCAGCAAGGTGGGTTAAATTCAGATTTTGAATATAATATTCAAATATGAATGGTGCTCATGTCATACTCGATTTTAATTGTTGACTACGGAATTCTAACCATATTGGCAAAATAATTTTCGAGAACACAACGGCTCCTATCCAGGTAGTTTGTTCTTCATGTATCCTCCAATTATCGTACTGCGCTAAACCTGCCGACGCAAACCCTGTATCATGCAGTGCTGCATGCAGCTCAATATATGGACTGTATATGATTAAACTAATACAATTCTATCGCGGCATTTTAAATGTTAGATTAGCAACTGATTCACATGTTGGATTACTTGTACACTTTTGTACATTTTAACTCTTATCTTGCCGTGGGCACATCTTTAATGTCACTGAAATCGCCTGCAGTATTTCCGACCCATCACAGCGCATCATAACTAGTAACATGTGCGTGCAGGTGGACCGCTCCGTGACGGGACAGGTGGCTCAGCAGCAGTGCGTGGGGCAGCACCAACTGCCGCTCGCTGACGTCGCTGTCACCGCCTGCTCTTTCTTCCAACACGTGCGTAACATTTAACAGTTTAGTTTAGTTTAAGATAGTTTAACACGTGCGTATTTCAGACTTACTATCTCCTATATCTATTTATATGTAGCATGAATGTATTATTACATATAAATTCTACATCATTATCTATTAACTTTAATTATATATTATTGTCTCGAGCCGGTAATGTCAGTATCGGGAAATATTTCATGTTAAAAAATGTATGAAATTATTTTCATCATGGGTTAAGTCCCTGGATGTGGAAGTTAATTGATTCAAGTTTTCGTAGGCTGCCAGCATATAATTTTATCAACGATACTGTGGCGAATTCGTTACTAATTCGCTTATAAATATAATAAGTGAACTATCAATTAGTCTCTTCACTTCGCTTCGAAATGGAACCTTACGGCAAGAAGTTTGATTTAAAAGTATTTAGAATTTTAAAATAAAAATGAAATGAAATAATGTTTTGAATAACTTGTTAATATATCTAATTTATTTTATTAAATAATCAATAAATTGAATATTAGAGTAAAAGAAATATGTTCTAAATAACTTGTTAATAGACCGTATTTATTTTTTATTCAATATAATAAATTGAATAGTTATTTCATTATCGAACCATACAATGAGCCTTGTTCCCCACACTCCGCCCCAACAGGAGGGCGTGGCGACTAGCACGGGGGAGCAGCCCGTCGTGACGACCGTGAACCCCGCTGCGGGGGCACGGCTCAGCCTCATGGAGGCCCTCGCCGGGCTCTGCATGGCGCCCATCACCACCTTCAAGGTGGGGGGGATTTCCTGATTATTTTATATATTTATTTCATTTATATCAGCTACGGAACGAACATAGCAGTAGTGACTGCTTCTTGATTCCCGGAAGGTTAAGCAGGCTGTTTTTATTAACAAATTATATGAAAAAATATGTATCAATATGGTCTGTATATCACATGGTCATCTTATGAATATTCTTACGTACTTGGTTAGAGAAAAGCATCTTCGCCTTGCCTACTTGGTTTTGTAGCACTTGGCTAGGTATCACTAAGCCTGAGTTCTCTGGCCCTGGCAGGACATAAAGTGCTCGGTGAACTGGATGTGGCCAGCTAAGCTGAAGGGTGAAGGCTACGCGATGTATGTGGCCTGCTCGTCGCTCTGCAGCCTCATGGTGCACCTCGGCGTGGCCGTGGACGGCGGCAAGGACTCGCTGGGCATGGCCGCCCAGACCTTGGACGACCACGGGCAAGCTAAGGAGGTGGTCAAGGCGCCCGGTACTGTCGTGGTCACGGCTTACGCGCCCTGCGTCGACATCACCAAGGTGAGTCACGAGGTGGACATTGAGGTGAGTCACGAGGTGGACATGAAGGTGAGTCACGAGGTGGACATAAAGGTGAGTCACGAGGTGGACATAAAGGTGAGTCACGAGGTGGACATAAAGGTGAGTCACGAGGTGGACATAAAGGTGAGTCACGAGGTGGACATAAAGGTGAGTCACGAGGTGGACATAAAGGTGAGTCACGAGGTGGACATAAAGGTGAGTCACGAGGTGGACATAAAGGTGAGTCACGAGGTGGACATAAAGGTGAGTCACGAGGTGGACATAAAGGTGAGTCACGAGGTGGACATAAAGGTGAGTCACGAGGTGGACATAAAGGTGAGTCACGAGGTGGACATAAAGGTGAGTCACGAGGTGGACATAAAGGTGAGTCACGAGGTGGACATAAAGGTGAGTCACGAGGTGGACATAAAGGTGAGTCACGAGGTGGACATAAAGGTGAGTCACGAGGTGGACATAAAGGTGAGTCACGAGGTGGACATAAAGGTGAGTCACGAGGTGGACANACTCGAAACACACGCCCTTCACTCGAAACACACGCCCTTCACTCGAAACACACGCCCTTCACTCGAAACACACGCCCTTCACCCGCCCTTCACGTCCCCAGGTGGTCACGCCGGACCTGAAGGGCTCCAAGCGGCGAGAAGAGACGCGCCTGTTGTGGGTGCGACCGACGCGGACGCTGCGGGCGCGGGTGGGCGGGTCTGCCCTGGCGCAGGTCTACGGAGGACTGGGCTGCGAGACCCCGGACTTCACTATTGAGGATGCGGCGGTCTTCGTGAAGGCTTTTGGTATCATCCAGGCCTTGATTGCAGGTGAGGAAATGCCTTCGAAACGATCAAGACTTCATTTAAATATGGAAGTTGTGGAATTTATAACAGCCTGTTAATCACAAGGATTGTAACGAAATCCGGAATTAACTGTGAGATGCAAAACAAAATAACATACGGAAGAAATATCTCGTGAGCTAAGAGTCAATTTGTCTTTAAAGGAAAAATTCCACATAACGACTGATTACGAGGCGAACATTCATAAGAATTCCCGTAAAGGACATAACTGTAATAATTGTCGAAGCAGTATTGTGTAAATTTGCTTAATTCGGAATAGAAAATTAAAATGTTCGTTTGCAGAGGGCTTGATTTTGTCGGGTCACGACGTGAGCGAGGGCGGCCTGGTGACCTGCCTGGCGGAGATGATGTTCGCCAGCACCTGTGGACTGGACATCCTCCTCCCGCCCACCCCCGAGCAGGACGCCTTCTGCTACAAGTCTCGTGACCACGTCCACCCAAACCTGGCTGCCCTCTTCGCCGAGGAGATCGGGTGACATATTAATTTTTGCTGGACGATTCCTTATTTGTCTTTGAATAGGCCATGGGTCTATTTCTTCAATGCCGACACTTTTATTCTATTCTATTTATCTTGCTGGAGACATCCTTATTTTACTGAACTCACCCTTATATTGCTGGACGCATCCTTATCTTGCTGGACGCATCCTTATCTTGCTGGACGCCTCCTTATCTTGCTGGACGCATCCTTATCTTGCTGGACGCATCCTTATCTTGCAAGACATGCCGTGTATCAAAGTCATGTACACGCTTTCTAATCTTTTCTCAATTATCCCAGAAATATCCTAATATTTTTCTAATCTTAACAATTGATCTTCACTGCTGCGCTATTCAATTTCATTCGCATACTAGGTTCATCGAATTCATCACATCCAAGTCATAACATTGCGGTGTTTTCACAGAGATTGTTTTAGGCATTTTATGTGAGTAAACTCTTATTAATTAGTTTTTTCTATCAGTCATTAGTTATTTATGAATAAAAAACTATTTGAATATTTATTTCCTTAGGTGGGTGCTGGAGGTTCACTACAACACGAGGTTAGAAGTCATCAAGAGGTTCGAAGACGTGCCTTGCTTCGAGATCGGAGGGCCCACGATAGCCCCCGGTGACCGCGACAGGGTGAGGTCGTTTTTTTTAAATTTATTATTGATGCTCCAATTAAACAATTCTTTGACCACATTTCTAGTTCACTGCGGCAAGAAAATGTAATTTTACCGCACGTATACTGGTACTCTCACAGCAATAGTCCATGTTTAAAGTTCCTTCCTGATGTTTAAAGTATATCGATTTTAAGAATGTTGTGAAATTTGTGACTTTGTTGGTAAGTCACAAAGGGTTTACCGCTGTGAACATTTGCCATTTCTCCCTCATCTGAATTTTTCCTTCATCTGAATTTTCCCTTCATCTGAATTTTTCCTTCATCTGAATTTTTCCTTCATCTGAATTTTTCCTTCATCTGAATTTTTCCTTCATCTGAATTTCTCCTTCATCTGAATTTCTCCTCTGAATTTCACCGTCAGTTTGTGATCCGTGGAGGCGCTGACAAGCGCGTGCTGCTGCTGACGGAGGTGTCCGTGCTGCGTGATGCGTGGGAGAGCACAAGTCTGGAGCTGGAGCTGTACCAGACCAACGCGGCCTGCGCCCGGCAGGAGTATGACGCCCTCAGCAACGAGCGCACCTTCGAACCTTATAAAATAAACTTCAACTACCGACCTCGCCTCAGTGGTGGGTAACTGTCTTGACTAATTACAAGTGATGGGTGACTGCCTTGGCCAGATTGTTGGGTGGGATTAAACTAATTTATGGGAAAGTTGTTCAATGGAAAATGTGGTGAGCTTGTCAGTGGCTTGTGTGTGTGTATGTGGGGGGGGGGGGGATGGCCAGTGGACCGTGCCGAGGGCAGTCACAAAATCACGTCATATTGAAAGATTTGTAACCAACGAATTCTCCATTCAATTTGTGCTAGAAAAGAGCGAAATCTGAAGAATGAGGATATAATTTTGTAAGACTCCAACTACAAGATATTCCTAAAATGCATCCACCAATAGTCCTTTTTTCATGTTTTTTCCTTTATAAACCCGTCGGTTTTAATTTCTCTTGAATGTTTCTAGCTTCATTCTCAAGTAGAAAATTAATGCCTGTCACGTGCACTGAACTCACGTGCACTGAACTCACGTGCACTGAACTCACGTGCACTGAACTCACGTGCACTGAACTCACGTGCACTGAACTCGCGTGCACTGAACTCACGTGCACTGAACTCACGTGCACTGAACTCGCCACTGACATCCCCCTTGCCCCAGTGGAGGCGATGCGGCGGGCGGCGGCGCTGGACGCGCGGACGCCGAAGGTGGCGGTAGTGAGGGAGGAAGGCTGCAACGGCGACCGCGAGATGGCGGCCGCCTTCATGATGGCGGGATTCCTCGTATTCGACGTCACCATGACCGACATCACCGCCTGCAACTTCGACTTGATGCAGTTCAGAGGCATAGCTTTCCCCGGCGGCTTCAGTTTCGGAGGTAATAGACCCATATTTTTTAAACGAAAAGGCTAAGAAATCGGCCACGATATTTTGAAATTTGTTAAAGCGTTTTTCAATGTTACAGTAACCGTTGTCAATGTTATTCGTACCTGAGAATATTGTGGTAATTCCTCTTATTTTAGATATTTACGCTAGGAATTGGTGCTCTCGAATTGTAGGGAGGCGAGTTGGTGGGGAAAAAGGAACCAAGGTTCAGATAGAACGTTCAGCCAGCATTAGGCTTGCAAAGCAAGTTAATATGTCAAGATTATTTTCAGAAACTTGATTTGTTATTTTTTTGATCACTTGATTTGATGGAGAGATCATTTCATTTATATCTTGAAGCTGTGCAATTCAGGAAAAAAAACTACAAAAATTGTACAAAAACTTTCTGGAGTACTCGTGTAGGGTTGCAATTGGCTTGGCAATTTGCCAAACTCGCCTGCCAATTTGGTTTCTTGAAAATATTTATTTCGTCCATGTGCTACGTTCTGTTTCGCGTTGCTGCGTAAAAAATAAGATTTCTAAAAAGCGTTTCCAGAACTCGTATAATTTTGAACTCTGGGTCGTATTTTAGTTCGTGGTCGACGCATTACCTGCTGGGCGTCAAGTACAAGCGTGTCAAATTCGCTAGCTTCGTTTAAAACTGGACTAGGTATAATTTCTTCCATTTCCAGACAACCTTTTGTGTGCCGCACGTCACTTGAAATAATTGTCACTTCAACCACTTCAAAATAGCTATAAATGTAAATATATAAATAAAAATGCTTCCTCACTTTTGAACACACTAATAAAAGTTCCCACACTTTTGAAACAATATCGTTCCTCTCGGTGCAGACGTGCTGGGCGCCGGGGTGCCAGCACGTCCAAACTCTTTATTTCACTCCTGCGTTACTAAAATGAAGTAACGCAGGTACTTCATTTTAGTTATTTATAAACAAACAATATCGTTACTCTCCGTACAGACGTGCTGGGTGCCGGGGTGGGGTGGGCGGCGTGTATCAAAGGTAACGAGGAGACGTGGGAGATGTTCCAGCACTGGCGTCATCATCCCAGGAACTTCTCGCTGGCAGTCTGCAACGGCTGCCAGCTCACTGCCCAGCTCGGCTGGCAGAACTCTAATGCAGGACACTCTCTAGTCGGTAATTTAAGAAGCGATCTCATTATATAAATTCTAAATGGTCGTTTCTGCAAACGCTGCATCGTCTTTTCGTTTCATCTTTGAGTCCACATGATTCTCGTATAACATTTAGTTTATCGAACCTTGGAGGAAGGGTTAGTTCACTAATATAACAAAATTGGATTTGAAATTGAGTCGGATGTTATATCTGATCGGATGTTATTTCTGACACTCGTTAAGCTAGATATTCTTGTTAATTGATGTAACCGTCCCTATTTACTAGTAATGCCTTGGATGGGAATTCTACCCGATTGAAGAAGTCTACTCTTTACTTTCATATATTCATCTAAATCTTATTTATTTACCTGAAAAAAAAAAATTGACATAATCAACATATTCCTCGTTAAGTCCAAGTCCTAAATACCTCAGCAGTGGGCGGTGCCGCTCGACCAGACCATCTCTTCAGGACGAATCTCTCCGGGCGCTTCGAGTCGCGTTGGTCGCGCGTCAGAATCGAGAAAACGAAAAACATCTTCCTGAAGGAAATGGAGGACTCGATCCTGGGAGTTTGGGTGGCCCATAAGGAGGGTGAGGCCACTATGGGGTGTAAAATTATTTTTTTTTAATTTAATGGGGAGTATCTTCGCGAGCAATGGAATAAAAGGTCCGTAATGACCGTTTGAAGGTCCAACACCTGATTTGAAAATAGAATGTTTCATCGTGTTGAGAGTCTTATTTGTTACCATGTAAGAAATTACAGTTTTCATTGGAATACACTAGGTGAGATACAAGACTATAAACTCTATTAATTAGGTTAATTATGTACAAGTTGAAATGATGAAAATATATGTTTTTTTTTTCAGGCCGCTTCGAGGCCCGTGGCGACGTCAAAGTAGAGGATTATTTCACCAAGAACCTCGTAGCCATAAGATACGTCGGCGACGACGACGAACCCACCGAGACCTACCCCATGAACCCCAATGGTTCTCCCAGTAAGTCGAGACTCGCTCCATAAACCTCAATGGTTCTCCCAGTAAGTCGAGACTCGCTCCATAGACCTCAATGGTTCACCCAGTAAGTCGAGGCTTGCCAAATGAGCCGCTCCATTGGTTCACTGGTTACGTGACCTCGACCGAAAGAATGCTGTATAGTATCACTCTAACTCGACATATTATTCAGTTCACAATTATCTTTCCTCTTCCTCTTCTTTTAATGCGATCTACAATAACAACACTTCAAACACTATTCATGAGCTCCATAGTAACTTATGAATATTTCACATGGAATATTTTCGAATTAATAACTCAAGAGCTGCCCAGTGGAAAGCCAATGAGGACTGTCACTACTTTACCTACCCCCTTACATTTTCCAGACAATTTCTAAGCTCCCTAAATGTGTAACGTGCCCTCGCAGTTCTCTTGTACCAGACGTCTCGATAATCTCTGTCGATTAATATTTCCACATGTATAGTCAAGGTAGTTTGCTAATCCCAATCGTTCCTCAGTGGGTATTGCTGGCATTAGCTCCCCGTGTGGGCGACATCTCGCCCTCATGCCCCACCCGGAGCGCTGCGTCCTGCCCTGGCAGTGGCCGTACAGAGGCCACTTCCCTGAGAAGACCATGACCAGCCAGCCTGAGGGGCCTGAACTCACCGACACCGCGCCTTGGGCCAAGATCTTCCAGAACGCCTTCGACTGGTGCACCAACGATCCCTCTTCCTACGACACCGACAGCAGTTAAACGTCCGTGTCGTCCTAAGATGGCTGTTAGTCATACACCACTGGTTACTAACGTCTATTGTTTGGCAAAAGATGACGGTGATGAGACATACCCCCCCACTGCTGTGTAACGTTTATTGTTTGGCTACTCCTTCGCGCTTGATGTGTTCAGTAGGCACGGCAATATTTGTGTTATTAACTAGGTTCTGCTTTGAACTCCAAGCCGGGTTTTTGAATTTGCGTCTCAAATTTAGCCTGCTTTTGAATTTAAAGTGAAACGTATTTTAAACATAGAATTCTATGCATGCTTTTTGTGGTTGAAAACGTTTTAGTTGTGTTATAAGATTTCCGAAAAATAAAATATCAAACTATTTATTTCTGTATACGCCTCCTGTTTTTTGATCCCATATTACGTCGGGAGAGCTCAGAGCTCCAGATAAGAGATTATTTTTTCGTTCATTGTGGCGGATCAATCGTGCCGAAAACGCAGAGAGCAAGGGAACGAAATAGCATCTGATGGAATACCTTACATTTGTAGAATGCTTACAGCAACGCTTGCATTCACATCAGTAAAATAACTTCTAGATACGTTCGTGCATTCGCTTAGCTCGCGACAACGCGTTAGTTATGTCAACGAGAACCATCTGGGCTGAAGACTTGACGCAATAATCACTAACAGACTAAGCAGTAACTTGGCCAAGTAAAAACAATCTCGCGTTTCTTCTAAAATTGCTCAATGGATAGGGTATTAACAGAGAAGCAGAATTGCAATTTATTCATCAATAAAACTTGTGTTACACAATACGCTTTGGTCGGGGAATGTTGTGGGGAAACATCGTACATGCTTAAATTCTACGCAGAGTAAGTCAGCACGGAATATGTACATCGTAACGAAGCAATAATTGCTAGGCCGCCAATCAGCGATTGGGATCTGGAATGCCAAATCATGGCCAACAAAACTTATAACCTTTATAAGTAGATGGTGGCAAAATCTTTAATTCTATAATCTGTAGCGAAGGCGCAGGCATTAAGCCAAAGAATTAAACAATGAATTGATAATATTCGTAGCTCAAAAATGCAACGCTCTTCCCTCAACTCTGAGATAACAGCGACGAAACATTTACAATGAAATATCAACAGATAAAGAAGTTAAGTAATCTCTGTATTTACAGAACTTTTACAATTTCTGGTAAACTTCCTTACGTGATGCCATGACGAAATAACCGTAATAAATGCTTTATCGTAAGCTATATATAAAAAATAACCAAAATATCGAGTTCAGTGTTTGTTTATCATGGTTCTGTGTAAAGAAATTTACATAATGTACAGACTTAAATGTAAAAACAGTCCTTGCAGTTGCGCTCGCACGTCCCAGACGAGTGCCTGAGACGACGCTCCTGCTCAGCGGAGTCTTCGCTGTTGCCTTCCTGTTCATCAGGAGGTCGTTGATTATTGGGGGCAGGAGGAGGCGGGACTGGCGGGGGAGCGCCCGAAAGTTCATCTTCTTTATTCTGCTCATTTGAGCTTTTCCGGGCAAGGTTCTGTTCAGGGTTCACTTGTGCGTCAGGTGTGCTAATAACGGACGACGGAGAAGGTGAAATTCGCCGCTGCAGGTTCCGTTTCGCCAAAATCTTTTCGGTTAAATTCTCTCGGACGAGCTTCTGTGTGGCGTACATCTTGGAGTGTTCGGTATTGTTAGGAATTAATGGAGTGGAGAGCGTTACTTTTCTTAGTGATGGAGACGATGGTGCGGACGAAGACCTCTGTTGGGTCTTGGGATATTTGATGCATGGTTTGATAACCCTAACCTGCTCTGGAGTTGACGGTGAGGGTGAGGTACCTGGAGTTGGCGGTGGGTCCACGCATACCTCATCGTTGAGGGTAACTCTTTTATGAGACCTCATCGGAGGTGTTAAAGGTGGAGGAGGAACGCTGGGTGGTGGTGGAGGAGATGAGGATTCTGAGGAAATGTCAGATTCTGGTGGAGGAGGAATCGCCGGAGGGCAGATTTTCGATAAATTTTTCTCGCCCTCCGTGGTGGGTGAGGGCACTTCGTATTGAAGTTCATCGGCAAAATTGACATGTTTCCTCCTCGATGGTCTCTCCCGAGGAGGCGTCAGGTCACGTATTGATTTGGAATAAATATCTTCCCGTTCAATAGGCTTAGAGGTACATGATAGGATAGTCTGGCAGCCCGTAGTGGTCCAGGTTTTTTCAATCCACGTAATTGTTTTCGGTGACCGCGATTGTCGTTCACTCTGTGAAGAAGGCAGGTCATATAAATCTATACTTGGTGCCACCGTGAGTCGAGGATCCAAAGGAAGTCTGCTGGCACTCAAGGATCGTCTCGGTCTCGATGCGGCACTTCCGATTTGCTTCATTACGGGCGTGGCGAACGTACAGTCGATGACCGTAGCGTCATTGTTAGGTAAATTTACCGCATCTGGGGGACGACCGAAATGGACATCATGTACATTGTAATTAATAGTGTTGCGAGTCATAATGCTTCTATGAAACTGAGTCGAAGATTCTCCCACAGCGTTTCTTTGCGAGTTGTAATAATGAGAAGTTGATCTCATTAGAGCGTCGTTCGTTACTACTTGTGCCGTGGAAAGTCCCACAGTTTCTTGGTGTAAGGCAGAATACTCCCCCGGTGCCCCATCCAAAAGGCTGCTATCCAGTAAACTCTGCTGGAAGTGACTGATGTTTTTCCTGCTCCTTGGAGGTGGGATTGGTACGCTCTGAAGTCGGGGCCGCTGCCGCCCCAGACTCTGACTCCGCCGCGGAGCATCGGGCTTGGGGGCTGAGGCACCTTGATGCGATGCATGTAGGGGCTCGACTGGGGCGCTCGTAATGTCGGACAACTGAAGGATAAATGCGTTGCTATGAAAATGCGCGAGCAGTGACACGCTCATTTTTATTCATTTGAAAAATCTGACCAAAATTTAAATCTCTCGGTGCATTTCTTGTAGATTGAGCCTAGAGGCTTTAGAAGCTGAATTAAAATAGAAACGAAAAATAATGCAAATCAGGCTTGCGTTTTGTTATTTCATTCAACGAAACTTGGATAGTCTTCAAAGATTGCAGAACTGCGGGATTAAAAATACAAACTGAAACGAAACGCTTCATGTTGTATTTCATCGTTTATGACCAATTGGCGTTAGTCACTCGCATTTCTGAGCAACAACACGTCACTCACGTTCACTCACCTTCGTAAGACACTACACGTCACTCATGTTCACTCACCTTCCTAAGCAACAACACGTCACTCATGTTCACTCACCTTCCTAAGCAACAACACGTCACTCATGTTCCCTCACCTTCCTAAGCGACAACACGTCACTCATGTTCCCTCACCTTCCTAAGCGACAACACGTCACTCATGTTCACTCACCTTCCTAAGCAACAACACGTCACTCATGTTCCTCACCTTCCTAAGCGACAATACGTCACTCATGTTCCCTCACCTTCCTAAGCGACAACACGTCACTCATGTTCCCTCACCTTCCTAAGCGACAACACGTCACTCATGTTACGTCGCAGGACGAAGACGTAGTCGTCGCGGCGGTCGAGCGGCCACGTCGCCTTCACCTCCAGCGGCCGCTCGTCGGGGCTCAGACGCACGTCGCTGTAGGAGGGCGACCGGCACACCTGTAGGGGGTGAAGGTATTAGGCATATATATTATAATATAATATGCATATATATATGCATATATGCATATATTATAATATAATATATGCATATATTATAATATATGTAGGTATATATTATAATATAATATATGCATAATTGTAATGATCTTTCGTGCCGAGGTTCAATAAAGATCTCACAATTAACACAATTACTTTAATTAAACGAAGAATGTTCAGCTCATAGCTGAATACTAAGCTAAGATCTCTACAATAATAATAGTATATTATTATAATATATAATACATTGGCTCTGACAAGACAGACAGATAAATATAAATCGGATACGAAGATTTGAATTCAATTGCGCCCGGTAAATTGAATTCAATTGCGCACACCACGCGTGTGGTGTGTGTAGAGCGGGTGTGGTGTGTGTAAAGCGCGTATAGGGTGTGTGTAGAGCGCGTAGGGTGTGTGTAGAGCGCGTAGGGTGTGTGTAGAGCGCGTAGGGTGTGTGTAGAGCGGGTGTGGTGTGTGTAAAGCGGGTGTGGTGTGTGTAAAGCGGGTGTGGTGTGTGTAGAGCTCGTATAGGGTGTGTGTAGAGTGAGTGGGGTCTGCAGAGCGCGTGGGGGTTGTGTAGTGCGTGTGCAGAGAGCCTGTAGAGTATGCGTAGAGCCTGTGCAGAACGTGTACAAAGGATGTGTAGAGCGTGTATAGAGCGTGTACAAAGGATGTGTAGAGCCTGTGCAGAAGGTGTACAAAGGATGTGTAGAGCCTGTGCAGAACGTGTACAAAGGATGTGTAGAGCGTGTGTAGAGCGTGTATAGAGCGTGTGTAGAGAGTGTGCAGAACGTGTACAAAGGATGTGTAGAGCGTGTGTAGAGAGTGTGCAGAACGTGTACAAAGGATGTGTAGAGTATGTGTAGAGCCTGTGCAGAACGTGTACAAAGGATGTGTAGAGCGTGTGTAGAGTATGTGTAGAGCCTGTGCAGAATGTGTACACAGGATGCGTAGAGCGTGCGTAGAGCAGGCCGCACCTGGTGCAGAGCGTAGAAGCAGCGAGCGTCGCTGCGGCCGCAGCAGTTGAGCATGAGCTGTACGACCTCCTCCGCCCGCGTGCGGTATGACACCAGCAGGCTCTTATACTGCGACTGTAATGGTCAGATGTACAGTTAATAAGTTTACGTCACTTTGTACTGCGACTGTAGCGCCAAAAATACGCCAAACCCCGGTACCGTGTCGTGTCAGTAACCAACCCCCGGNGGGACGATGTCAGTCAAGAGAGGGTGGTGACAAGGGACGATGTCAGTCAAGAGAGGGTGGTGACAAGGGACGATGTCAGTCAAGAGAGGGTGGTGACAAGGGACGATGTCAGTCAAGAGAGGGTGGTGACAAGGGACGATGTCAGTCTAGGGAGGGTGGTGACGAGGGACGATGTCAGTCTAGGGAGGGTGGTGACAAGGGACGACGTCAGTTAAGATAGGGTGGTGATACGGGAAGATGTCATTTAAGGGAGGGTGGTGACAAGGGACGATGTTGTCAAGCATACCATAGCCACACAAATGAAATGTATACAAAAGAATGGACATTTACATAAAAATGTGACCGTACATCCTATATTTACAACGGATTACGCGAAATTCGTTTAGTTTACAAGAGAGTGGATGAAGCGAGCGGCTCACGCGTGTCTCTCGCTCACCTCTTGACCGTTATTGTCATTAATAAGTACCTCACCTCTTGACCGTTACCCTCATTAATAAGTACCTCACCTCTTGACGGTGACCCTCATTAATAAGTACCTCACCTCTTAACCGCAACCCTCATTAATAAGTACCTCACCTCTTGACCATGACCCTCGATATTTATAAGTACCTCACCTCTTGACCGTGACCTCCATGGTGAGGTAGAAGAGGTTAGGGTCGCGATGCTTCATCCTGTACTTGGACAGCAGCGAGGCGACGAGCTCGCCACACGTGGTGCGGGGGCCCACGCTCACCGTCTTGTACTCGATGTCTGAACGCAGGCACTTGGCGAACACGCGGATGGTCGTCTGTAACATGGACACGTTTACTCAATTAGTCTGCAACCATGACACATATTACTCATTTAGTCTGTAAGAAGTTACACTAGCTGGTTACTCCATTAGTCTGTAACCAGGACACTTATTACTCATTAATTCTGTAACCAGGACACTTATTTCTCATTTAACCTGCGGCCAGGACACTTGTTACTCATTTGATCTGTAACCAGGACCCCTATTACTCATTTATTCTATAACCAAAACACTTATTACTCATTTATTCTGTAAACAGGAGACTTATTACTCATTTATTCTGTAACCAGTTACACTGGTTACTCATTTAGTTTGTAACCAGGTGCACTACTTACACCATATATATGGTCGTCTGCCACCAGCTATACTGGTCACTTCTTGGTGGTCTGCGACTAGTTACACCAGTAAAACCTCGATTGAACAAGTGTATCAATAAACAATTGCATGCGCCCACAATACCAGGAGTGAACGCTTCACTTGCCCTTGGCTCGTTTATAAATCCAAAGACCGCTTAGAGTTATAGCTTTTGATTGTGCTAAGTTTCTAATGTGTTTTACAACAATTTCCAAATTCATTGTTACAAATTTGATTCGATGTTGAAACCCGTGATTGTAATAATTTGAATCAGTATCAATTTGACTGTAACTCAGTTTTCTCCAGTAATGACTAGTGGTTTTCAATTCATTCAAATTTTGAATCAGTAGCATTTGGTATTTTGGTAATGTTTGTTTTCAGTGACATGTTTTCATCGGTCGTGCACGACTGACTATGTTAGGGCTAATTTGTAAGTGTTTAGCTTGGTGACTGTTAATAATTCTCAAGTTCTTATTTAACATTATTAGTAACCACCTTTGTCGCCTGGGATTAGTTTAGATGGTCATTCTTTAGGAACCGTTTCGTCATTTTTTATCACGTTCTTTATTATTTTATATGATTGTGTACCCCAAAGCGAATAATGACTACATAGGACGGCAAGCGATATTTTATATATTAGAAGTTCCTTGTGTAAATATTCAGTCAACATCTGAAGGAATTATTCATCAAACATATCCGAATCTTGATTAGGTATTTGGTCCTGATTTATTTGTATATACTTCCTCGACCTTTACCTAAAACAGGAATAAGTGGAACAATATGTGTAAATCTTAACTTTACGAAGGAATTATTCATCAAAAGTATCCGAATATTGATAAGTATTTGGTCCTAGCTTATTAGAAAGTACGTACTTCCTCGACCTGTACCTAAACCGGGAACAAATAGAACAAAATGTGTTAATCCTAACTTTATATTCTTCTTATTGGTTAGAATATAATCAAAACGAGCTTCATTAATGATGTAATATGTGGAAATCTTAACTTTATATTCTTCTTATTAGTTAGAATATAATCAAAACGAGCTTCATTAATGATTTTAATCCTCCTCGAGTTGTAATGCGCCCCGCAGTAGGAGGAGTAACCATCCGGTTTCCTGTTGGGGTTTTTGTGTCAGGCGCAGGAAGCGTAGACGATCGATGGCTTTCACGCTCGCGGCAACAAACCAACAAAGCTAAACACGGTAGCGAATATCTCGCAATAATTTGCATGATAATTGACACCATTTCTATAGCTGATGATCATTTATTTGTAGAGATACAATAATGATCAAATGGTTCTAAACCAACTAGGTATCAAACGTTGAAATAACGTTGATTTAATGTTGTTTCAACGAAATCAACTCGTGATCAACGTTTCTTTGACGTTAATTGTCTGGAGTGAAATAAAAATTGAGCTTTTTAAATAAATTTAACCGTATAGATGAACTATCTATTTGGAATGCAACCTTTCGAAATACTTGTAGTGCCCAACAAATGGTTTTTAAAAAGAATATAATAAAATTTCAGCAATAATTATGGACTGATGAATATAGTGATAATAAAATGGTAGCATAAAACATTAAGAAGTGTTGAGGAACTTAATGGAACGAAAACTTTGTACATTTCGGAATTTGCGTAGAGTAAACTTGATAAAGTTAAAATTCAGTCATGCACTGGATGAGTGTTACAAATAAATTTCAATTTTAACAGTTGTCAGACCAGCAAGCAGCTCGATAAAGCTGAAAACTTAATCTTAACAACGAAGTTTGCTGAGGTTGCAGTTACACCGTCCAAAAAATTGTTGAATTGAGAGAATACTCTAATTTTTTCTCAACTTGCACTTAATTGGATGACGGTGAGCAATACAGAAGCGAAGATCGCTTGCACTGCAGCGTTGAAGTCTCCGTAACTGAGTAGGCGTACTTTTTGAAATTTCGACCGCTGTCCAAATTTAGACAGCGGTTTTTTTGATAGATCAACAAGACAACTTATGATTATCACTGATACAAAAAAAAAAAATGCTTCCACGAGCTTTGCGGTGTAGAGAGGACGACCAGATTATGAAAGCCGGAACCAGATAGTAATCCAAATGACAAACAGTTAATTTAATAGATATTCAAGGACCATGTCTTATTTCGAGTTGATATTGACATGTAGATGATGGAATTCATTCATTCACGCTTGAAAAATTAATTGAAGAAAATTCTTAGATAATTCTTTCAATAGCGCCTCATCTGCTAAGCATCAAACAAAAAAGTTTCCAATGCTGGAAACGGCAACTCATTTTCACAACAAAAGAAAATACAGTCGAGGGCATGAAGAGAAAACCCTCTCCACGAGCCCTCGAGAACAGCAAAGTCACACCGGCAATCCGCAATCCTGCGGCAACTGGGAGGATTGACCCCAAACTTTCAGTTGTCGGCCGACAATGGGAAAATTTTGGCCGCCGTATCAATGGCTACTAAATACCGGACGATATAGAGTAGTTACATTCAAGGTAGCAGTATTATTACGGGAGACATCAATAATATCGCCTCATCGATACAAACGAACCCAAATCGAGTAGAGATGAGGAAGCATGAATTTACAATTTGCAACAGACATAACCAATAACCAAGTTATGTCTGGAATTTCCATAAAGATTATTATAAATTATTATGGAAAAGTGAGTTACGTTGGCAATAATTAGATAAGTATGCCAAGGAGACGCCACAACAATAGCCAGAATGTTCTTTTATTATTAAATGGCAGAAGCAACGAAACGCAAGCAATGAGCTGCATCCATAGGTGCACCGACGCCAGTTTTACACATACAGCACATCAAAAGCAAATGCAATAACGTCGGCGAGCAGAAAAAAGTTACGGCAGCAACAAATAATGAAGCAAAACGAGAATAATGAAGCCAGAAACAGCAACATATGGAAATAAATTGCCACAAAAATTATATGCTACTGACATCAAGTATATGTTATTGATATTTTTTTTTGAGCGCCAACACCAACAGCGCCAATATCACCTCCAAACACAGCAACAATCACAAAAATAAACAATAGCAGCAGAAAAAGCTTGGACAGCAACAGGATCAACAACATCAGCTACATCAGCAGCAAGAGCGACATGAGCATCAGCAGTAACAGTAGCAGCAGCATCAGTAACAGAAGCGACGTGGACAGCAGCAGCACCAGCGGCGGTAGCATCCACAACAGCGGCAACCTCTGCCACAGCAGCAGCAAGAACAGCAGATGCCTCTGCCACAGTAGCAGCAAAAACAACAGCAGATGCCTCTGCCACAGCAGCAACAACAGCAGCAGCAGCAACAGCAGCAGCAGCAGCCACTGAGCATCAGGTTATCCAGGCCTCGACTTCCGCCGCTGCGCTTGGCTGCTGTGTGCGGCCTTTGACCCTTTGCTCCTCGCTGAATTTCACATTCCAGGTAGGAATAACATTGCAAACAAGAGGAAATGTTAACTATCATTGTAGATTAATACTTAAATTCTGCTATTAACAACACTGCGAGCTAGACTAGTAATTCATCCGCATGGGTAGTTCAGGCTTAACCTATGCTACAGGTAGGATCGAGAAGCGAAACCGTAAACAGGGCTCACGTAGTAGAAGCGTGAACACCTACCTGCACTGCATCTATTCTAAATCACTACTAATGCAATTGTATGAACACATAGATATATTCCATCAAATCATACCAAATACAATAGTAATGACTTTTGCATATATTCCCTCAATACACAGCAAACGCAATAGTAATGACACCTGCATCTATTCCATCAAAATGCGACCACTCCTAATGCGAGACGGTTTTCAGCAGTGCCTGACCTCTGCATTGTAAACTCGTCAAGAAAATATGCAACGTGAATAGCGTGTGCAGGTCAATATAGTCAAAGATTTAGAGCTTCTTGTCTTTAGTAGAAAAACTGGAAAACTAACGAGTTACGTTACCCGCGGTGGTAAGATAACTCCGCCGGACGCTTAATTTAAGGGGCCAAACGGAACAAACCAAAGCGCGCTTTAAAAATCAAAAGGCGTGTTGGAACATCAAAAGGCATCTTGGAACATCAAAAGGCATCTTGAAGCATCGAAAGGCGTCTTGTAACATCAAATGCCAAACACCAAAGGGCGCCATAAGACACCACTGACACCACTAGACACCATGAAACCCCAAAGGGCGCCATAAGACACCACTAGACACCATGAAACAGCAAAGGGCGCCCTGGTACATGGAGGGCGGCGTGGGGCGTCACCTCACCGCCCTGAGGTCACGGAGGTCGACTGTTACACCAATTCGTTCGCTTTATTCGTGATTTTTGAAAATAGCAGACCTGCACTTGAGGGATGTAGCGTGACCTTTAACAGAGAGGTCAGCTTCAAGGTTAGCTGGCGTCGTTGTATATTGCACAACATCACATTAAGGAGATTAAAAGTACCGATTTAGACACTGAATTTGACACTTTATCTTCACACTTTAGTCTTCCCTGTACAAAAGTTTGTCTTCCAAAATCTACGCTTTTTAAGTATATTCTTATGAATAGGATTTTTTCAACGAGATCCAGTCCATTACGGCAATTATACTCAAGTCTCACTTAAATTAAACAAATTTGAGTTCAAGTCAATTGAGCAACTATAGATTATT